CATAGTGCCTCACACCTTTAATCCTAACACTTTGGGAGGCTGAAGCAGGAGAATCATCACCTGAGGCAACATAAGGATACTTCATCTCTTCAAAATATAAAGTAAAAATTAGGGTGGGCATGGTGGCATGGCCACCCAGCTACTCAGGAGGCTGAGGCAGGAGGATTGCTTGAGCCCAAAAGTTCAAGGCTGTAGTAAGCCATGATTGTGCCATTGCACTGCAGACTGAGATAAACATCAAGACCCTGTTTCAAAAAAAAAAAAATGACAGGCATGGTGGCTCATGCCTGTAATCCCAGCACTTTGGGAGGCTGAGGCGGGTGGATCACCTGAGGTCAGGAGTTTGAGATCAGCCTGACCAATATGGTGAAACCCCATCTTTAAAAAAAAAAAAAAAAAAGAAGAAAAAAAAACCAACTTAAGAAATCCCTTGGTGTACACATCACAAGGGCTCATTAATGGTTTATTGATTCTGTTTTTAATCTTCTACTGAAAAAACAGAAATGTATCTGTATCATGTATAAATTTTCACATTTATGGATAAATTAGGTATAAAGTGAACAGCTTATAAAAATTGGGGAATAAGATAAACATAATTATCTTCCCATTTAAAGAATTCATGGAAAAAGTAAAATTTCATATTTATATTTTTTTCTGATTAGAAAAAGAAGAAAATCCCACATAATCCCATCAACTACTCTGTTGATTATTTTAATATACTGCCTTTGTCTTTGTTCTATGCATGTATGTGGAATTTTATATCATTGAGAATATGCTTGGCATCCTGCTTGATTCACATAACATTTATTAAATATATATATATTTTTGAGATGGAGTCTTGCTCTGTCGCCAGGCTCCAGGCTGGAGTACAGTGGCACAATCTCGGCTCACTGCAATCTCCGCCTCCTGGGTTCAAGCAATTCTCCTGCGTCAGCCTCCCGAATATCTGGGACAACAGGTGCATGCCACCACACCCAGCTAATTTTTGTATTTATTAGTAGAGATGGGGTTTCACCATGTTGGCCAGGATGGTCTTGATCCCTTGACCTTGTGATCCACCTGCCTCAGCCTCCCAAAGTGTTGGTATTACAGGCGTGAGCCACAGTGCCCAGCTATTAAATACATTTTTTTCTGTGTTTTAGAAACATTTAAAATGACTGCATGAATGTAATTACTCCAATGTAAAATTATGTACCCATAGTTTTGATCTTAGAAAAATCCACTGAGAAAGGATTTTTCTTCTTTATTTGCTAAACACTTTTGTTTTAAAATAAAATAGTCAGCCTGGCACAGTGGCTCATGTCTGTAATCAGAGCACTTTGGAAGGCAGAGGTGGGCAGATCACCTAAGATCAGGAGTTCGAGACCAGCCTGGCCAATATGGTGAAACTCTATCTTTACTAAAAATACAAAAATTAGCCAGACGTGGTGGCAAGCACCTGTAATCTCAGCTACTTGGAAGGCTGAGGCAGGAGAATTGCTTGAACCCTCGAGGCAGAGGTTGTAGTGAGCCAAGATTGTGCCACTGCACTCCAGCCTGGGCAACAGAGCAAGACTCCATCTCAAAAATTAATTAATTAATTAATTAATTTAATTGCCTGATCAACAGTCCATTTTAAAATTTATTTTACAATTAACAGAAAACAGGGGAGAGATAAAACGCCCACTTACAAATTAACTCAAACAAATACAGTGAGGCACCACCTTGCCATCACGGCTGCCTCCCAAAGCCCACCATTTACATTGGCAAGTATGAATAGTTACTCAACCAGTGGGCTCTGGACAGTGCGGGGAGCTCCATGGCTACTGCCAAAAGCCTTAATGGAGAAGAACTGAAAGGATGAAAAGGAAAGAAGAAAGAATAGTAAGGGGAGTGATGAGTTTTAAGTTGGGAGTGAGGCAGTTCCCAGAGAAGCAGCAGTACCCTGGATTAACATGCCTCTTTCAAAAGACTTTTAATGCAGAGACATGGACTCACAGCCCACCATACTTACAGTGTAAAGTGTGCTTGCCATTTATTAGACCTTAGCCTACCTATTCTGGTATAAGCAAATGGCCTGGCAGCTTTCAGCTTTCTACATATGCAAAACAGCAAGTCTGATGAATCCTGCATTTCATATCCTTGAGAATCAGAGTTAACAGTATGTATGTTGGGAAATGGAGGGTATGGGTCAGCTAGAAAGGCAGTTCCCATGGTGTATGACAGTATCTTTCACGTTATTCTCTCTCGGGTTCTAATATTCAGCCTTCAAATAAAGGTTACTTTTAACAGAGAAAAAGAAATCCCTAAACTCCATTTTAGTAGAATTCCTATCATTCTTCAGAAGCAAATATTGTTTCTTAATAAAAATTATTCAACTCACCTGGAGGGAATATCCTCTTAGAAAAAAAAAATGACTATCCTGTGTTCACAAGAGCATGGACCTGCTGCCTTGTCACTGGGACTTGAGGACTATTCCAAATAATGACATTGCTAATGTATTTCCTCCTTTACAAGCAATCTGAAATACTCTTTCAATTCAATTACTGAAACTCTTTTCTGGTCACATCAAAATGAAAAATCACGTTTCAAGAGCCTAGATTTTCAAAATGGCTAAAGCAACCTACTATCCTTGCAGTTTAGTTCTGCCCAACTTTTTCAGCATAGGAAAAAGAGATTCAAGAATACTGCAGTTTCTCTGCTGGAAATGGATTTGCTAGGATGTCCCCTCAATGACTCCCCCATCTTGGAGGAATTATATAAACATGAAAGAAACAACAAAGCCAAACAAAAACGAACAGAAAACTACCCCCATAAAACCTCATGCCTTCAGTCATCAAGTCATATTTTGTTCTACCTCTTGGCTATCCTTCTCACATGCTGCTGTTTGTCCAGCATATGAATTACCTGCCTAATCATGCATACTATTTGGTCTATAACACACATGCAGCAAACAGCATACTTTTAATGATCTGAATGAAGACAATGATCTAATACATTCATTTCAAAGTAAACAATTCTAAGTTATTCCATTTCGCCAAAACAGAGATCGAAAGCCTAATTTAAAACAAACTGTGATTTTTTTTCTTTGTGAGATTACAGTACAAGACCAAGTGATAAAACCTATGCTTTCCTATAAAATAAAGTGTATCTGTACTGTAGAGCACCTTAAGAATATTGATTCAACTTATAAAAAGTATAATAGCATTTTAGCCTTAATATTCAAAAACCTTGAGGAAGCAAACAGCACTTTTGACTTGTCGCCTGTTTAATAATCCTCCGCCTGAGATGACATTTATTGCTCATATATCTCACGTTGGTGAGTAGAAGAATTCTCAGTCCAAATCCCTGAAAGGAATAGTGTGGCTCCCTAGTGCAAATTTCCTGAGAGCCCCTTCCCTTAGCATGTGCCAAGAATCAAATCTTGGCCACTTAGTGCTCTGTGTTCCACATGTGAGCTCGCTAAGCACTGAACGGCTGTGCTAACTGAGATGGATGGCCCTGTCAAACAGGAAGCTGGCACACCAGGGTGCAAGCAGTGGGATACAATGACCTTTACATTCAGAGAAAAATGTCCCTAAAGTGGCATGAAAAGTTTGTCAGGGGAAGGGAAGGGAGATTCTTTTATTTCATTTAGGTACATAGCATGACATAAAAGCAATGGTGCCCAGTATGCAATTTGCTCAGGATCAAATCGTGAATATCCCTCACACCAGAAGGAAAGTCGTTGGAAAAAGGAAATGAATCATCCTTTATCGGGCTGCTTTGAGAGCACTGGACTCTATGATTCAGCTACACCACTGTGCCCAGCCTGGCCAGCGCTTGGATTCAGACTGCGCTAGGATTCACAATAACTCGTAGGGTACTACCTGCTCTGAGAAAACATTCCTAATTTTTATTAGGCTGCTTTCTTGATAGAACTAAAGTATAACAAATATTTAAAATATTTCTTAAAAAGCAATAATCTACTTACAGAATCAAATTCAATACCTTGGGAATTTAAATCCCTTGGTTGGCACATTTGTGACTTCATATCAATATTTAATCTCTCATAGTATCCTTATCGGTACAAATGAGGCTCTGACTGATAGTTCTTAGGAATGATATGAAGAGAAACTCATTTTAAAAACAACAAAAATCCTTGGCATATTCACAAATGTTAACTAAAGATAGGAATATAGGACATTAATATATCAACTAAGATCCGGAAGTTACAAATTTCTCTCCTTTAGTTATAACCATAATCATAAAGAATACAATTCAATCATTTCAGTTGAAAATGAAGAACAATAAATTCCATTAGATCAATTTTTTTTTCCATTACTCAAGGTTTGGGGGTATTTTGTTGTTATTTGTTTTGTCAATTCTTTGGCATGAAAAAACAATGGGCTATACTTCAAAATGAAACAACAGAAGCTCACAGTGGGCTCCCCAGTATTGTATAATACTCACTGAAATAATGATGCAATTTTAATACTTAATTAAAAAGTGAAAGGATTGATGATAAAGACACTGCAATATTTTTTAATTGGATGGACCACATCAAAACTACAAAACAGTTTTCAAAGATACAAAAGGATAAGAGGCATCTATTTTTTTCTGTTCAATTAAAAGCTTATCACAAAGTGCAGAAGCCACAGGCCCAGAGCAATAAGTAAATTTCAAAAACTGAATGCTTTATACATCATGTATTATAAGTTTGAATAAGTCAGGAGTTAAATATCTCAGGACTGGCCCTAACTTAGAGAAATTAACAGTGTTATGAATGCAAGAAAGCTATGATCACTTTGAAATGCAAGTTGATTTTAAGGCTCTAGAAGTGCTGGTCAAATACTTCCCAAAAAAAAACAAGAAAACAAGAAACAAGACCTTCTACAAGAAATATTCTGCTGCTCACTAGGAAATGCTACATCTGAAAATTCTCCTTCAACCTTTGTTTGGAGAACTATTTCAGAAAACATATTCTTCCTCAAATTATGACACACAAGAGACTTGGGAGGAGAAGGGAGAGGCATTAATACCTTGGGCCTGAGCGGCAGAGCTATGAGAATACCCCAGGGCCAGGAGCGCAGTCTCCACCAGCTGGCTAAAAAGCACATCTTTCCGCACCAGGACAAACTCAGCGTGTTCTTCTCTGTTGTCATATTCAAGAGAGCCGTCCAACTGCTCCACGACACAAAAGACAGGAATCATCAAACCTGAAGGGACAAAATTCAAGAGCAAAACACAAACATTACAAAGCAAATCTCAATCACCACGATGAGAAGGGAAGCGACAGTTATAAAAGTCACTCATCTGTGATCGACAGTGGTTTAGATTAAACAAGCCTCTTAGTCATATAGGCCTAATGGAAAGCTGTGGGTTTCCCCCCCTATTATTACAGAATTGCCTGGGGCAGCAGCAGAAGCCCTTAGATTCCAGTCATTTTCACCAACCAGAGGTGTCCTGGTACATAGGTAAGACAAAGGTAACCTTATAGGTACTCGATTCTTTAATGTCTACAGTTTCATCATTAACTGTTAATCAGCACTAGTATTTTCAGATCAGATCTGCTCTTGTCTAGAAATACCTTTCAAAGCTTCCAGTTGTAATAAATATATTACTTTTAAGTGTAAAAGTAAAATACTTCAAATCTCCTAGCTCCTTCTTACTAAAAAGATATGTTTGATTTTAGGGTCTAAGCTGTTATGTGAATATAAGAAAGTCAATAGAAATTTAAAATAAGTCCCTCTTATATATTTTTTTTAATCCTAGTAAATAGGTTATCAACTAGCCTAAAAATAACATCATAAATGTCTTAACTTATATTTAATTTATATCAAAATATAGACCCAAACATAAAAGTGTGCCTACATAAAATTATTTTCTACATTAACATCAGTTACTGCTGAAAAGGGAGGATCTTTTCTTGTGTTTTCAGAGAAAAGAAGTAAACTACCCTAAAGAATAAAGCAAATCTCAGTGGCTCACGCCTGTAATCCTAGCACTTTGGGAGGCTGAGGCGGGTGGATCATCTGAGGTCAGGAGTTCAAGACCAGCCTGACCAATATGGTGAAACCACGTCTTTAAAAAATAAAATAAAAAAATAAAAGAATAAGGCAAATTAGTCTAGTTGAAAATCTGTTGAAATCTGTTGTCACTGAAATATTTCTCTGCTTTGTATCAAAGTGTGAAAAGCTAAAAAATGTTAATTCACCAAGGATTTTTTAAAATTGTTTTTTTATTTTTAAAAAAGTCATACATGCACTTAAATCTAAACATAACCAAGGCAGAAGAAGATCAAAGTTTTACTAACACACAAGTAATAAACGTGGACCCTGCCTAATGTGATTCGCACAGATTAGTATGTTACAGGTCTTCTTTTTGTGCAAGAAAAATTAAAAGTTATGAAGGATGGGTGAGCAGGCAGACAGGGGAGGTAAAAGTTACATGGCCAAGGTGAAGGTATTCACAACAAAAAGAAGATCTTTGTGTGAAATGACTATATGGGAATATGGCCCCTGACACAGAGAATGCATAGGAGTTTTTCAGAGCCCACTCCCTGTGGCCTCAACCCTAGGAGCCTCCTGACTCACTCTGATCTGGAAAGCCGAGGGTGGGAGCAGATGCTCTACAAACTACTGGGTCACAGATTGAGGTTTTTGTTCTAAAGATAATGCATTGGTGCAACTGGTTCCCATGTGCTAATTATTATTATTAAAGATAATAAGTATTGGGTATAATTATTAAATATAATCTTATTAACAATAATAATACTCATTAAGAATTGTTATCATTAAAGATCATGGTAATTATTATTAAGACTGCACAACAGTCTAACAAGTCAAACCATATCATACAAGACAACTATTGACTCAGTGTTCACTGCTGAGAATAAAAAAGCAGTATTATCGTCTGAAGCAAATATACTCTCCATGGTGTAGATTTATTTAAAAATATCAGATATGGGTGGTGCAGACTGAAATTTTAGACAAAGAAGAAGATTTAGGACAGCTACACAATGTCTTGCAAGACATATTTTTTCATTGTGACCATTACTGCTAGATGAAATCCTTATTTATTTATAGCAAGTGTATTCCAAATAATATATATAGAATATGTAGCAAATAATATAAATTAGATTTCTTCCAAATTATCTTTTCTTTTTTTTTTTGAGACAGTCTCGCTCTTGTTGCCCAGGCTGAAGTACAGTGTTGAGATCTCAGCTCACTGCAACCTCCGCCTCCTGGGTTCAAGCAATTTTTCTGCCTCAGTCTCCTGAGTAGCTGGGATTACAGGCACCTAGCACCATGCTCAACTATTTTTGTACTTTTAGTAGGGACAGGGTTTCGCCATCTTGGCCAGGCTGGTCTCAAACGCCTAACCTCAGGTGATCCACCCTCCTCAGCCTCCCAAAGTGCTGGGATCACAGGTGTGAGCCACTGCACCCAGCCCCAAATTACCTTTGTAGTCATTCATCTATCCAGGATTTATTGAACACCTACTATGTGCCAGGTGGCTCCAGGGATACAAGTAAGAACAAGTCTGATACGACTGCTGCCCTCAATGTAGTTGAAGGTGTTGTAAAACCTTCCTACTCAAGCATAATGGGATTTTATAGGACTCATTCATGAGAGTCCGTACCAGCAAGGAATAGCCCCCATTTAGAGCTTTTAACTCTTACATGCTAGCATATAATCTTTGTCCAAGGAAGTAGGTAGTTTTTTACTTCTAATGATTTAAGCATATGCACACATAGGGCCATATAGTCCATGGTGCCATAAGCTACTCCACCACTAATACCTGTGTGTACATAAGTGTCAATGCTGAAAACCCATGTGCAATTCCTAATGTCAATATCTGAGTGTCACACATCTGGGAATCACAGATAAGATCTTTAAATGAATCCAATTGCTCCATAAGCTATCATGTCTCCATTACTTAGAAACTACAAATCTTTCTCAAGTCTATGGTCAACTGAAAAACTTATGACCCTATTAACTTTTAAAAATAATATTAACTATTCAACCAGTTAGATATGAAATATAACATGAAAGCACAGGGATCTATAACATGTTTATAGCTATCAACATAAACATGTTGATAGCTATAAACATGTTTAAAACACAGGGACTTATGTTTTATAACTGTCAATTACTTAAATAGTACCTAAAGATTTTGCTTCAGTGATTGAAGGAAGCAATTGTTGGCTGACACATCAGTAATAACTTCTTACAGAAAGCATGCACCAATCCTCCACTGGCATCACTTATTTAAAAAAAACAGGGGGGGGGTGCTTTGTGGTCATTTATAAAACACTATTAATGAGGAATATATGATAAGAGGGTTTGTTATGCAGCACATACATATATGAGATACTGAAGAATATCATAAAGAGCTTATATTTTTTAAAATTTACCTTCTTACTAGAATTTGACCCATCTCAACAATTATGGTTTTTATAATGAAATGCAATTTTTACAAAAGGAAAAAGGAGGAAAAATAGATGCAGTTACTAGTGACAATAATAAGAGAAATGAAAACTAGTCAAATAGTATGACTGAGTTCAAGTGTTGAAAGAAGAAAATTAAGGCATAAGTTTAAAAAGCCTTGAAAAACTGAAAATCCCTAAGGGAAGCAAACTGTAAAAGAATGAGTAAAAATATATGCAGAGAGAGAGAGAGAGAGAGAGAGACCCCGCGAGAGAGACACCGAGAGCGACAGAGAGCGAGACAGACAGAGCGAGAGAGAGCGAGACACAGAGATTTGTTCATTTTATCCACAACTCATCCCAGGCAAAAAGTGGGGGAAAAAAAAGAAAAGAGAAAAAAGTGACAATGGATAGCAAGATAGGGAGATGCTTGAAAAACACTTCAGAAAATAATTTAAGAGAAGAATTTAAAAGCTTCAATAAAAGAAAAATGTAAAACTGAAATGCATTTTCTTTTTTTTTTTTTCATAACCTCAGTGATATGAAATGCATCTTCAACAAAATTTAGAAATGGTGAAGAAAAAAGAAAAACTTGCTCTAGCAAGCCTTACTAAGCCTTTTACAATTGCAGGAGGTAAGCAGGTAGTTTAATCTGGAGAACAGGCGCTCGGCCTCAGCCATTTGCTAAAAATTATGAGTTCTTCTGGTAATTGGGATAAATGATGAATTCTGTTGTCAAAGAGGCCAAATAAGCCTGGAAACCTCTCTACACTAGAAAAATGCATTTTTCCAACTGTCATTAGTGATGATACTGAAATTGTCACTTTTATTCTGACATTATTTCTGAAGAAGTGTGTATAATTTATAAAGAGTTAACCATTGTTACTGCCGCTGTTCATGGCAACAGCTGTGAGAACTGAGACACGTGGGAAAATGGTTAGATGTGGTGATGAGCAGCACCAGGTCAGGGTCAAGTCCTGGCACTGTCCCTCTTTACCTGTGTGTGACCTTAAGTAGTTAATCTGACCTCTCTGAGGCTCAAATTCCTCCTAGCTAAAATGCAAACAATATCTACATCATAGATCTGTTGTGAGGATTAAACAACATTACATAGTTAAATTGTCTGACAGCTCTCAAACAATGGAATCTATTTGTTTTCCTTTTTCTCAAAATCAGTATTAATACGATTTTACAGAGGGAAAAAATTAACCAGTAATTTTTTTCAGGGTCTGTAATCAATGTTCCTGATACTAAAAGGCATTTCTTCAGAATAAAGAGGACACTAATAATCACTGAATGGCCTATTATGCAAATGACAATGGCTTGAAGTGTTTAGCATGCCCTATAGCAAAAAAGGTGAAAGTGCTTAAAAAGCACAGTAAAACTACCTGTCCATTATAGCAGCCTCTAACTTTATGTAGCAATTGAGCACTTGAAACATAGCTAGTCTCAAATCGAGATGTGCCATAAGTATAAAATACATACTAAATTTTAATGACTTAATAACAAAAAGAAATAAAAATAAATACATCATGAGGTTTTTTTGAAAGTAACTGCATGTAGAAATATCTTGGATATATTGAGTTAAATAAAATATGTTATTAAAATTAACTTTACCTATTTAACTTTTAGTGTAGCTACTAGAAAATGTAAAATTATACATGGGGCTTATATTTGTATTAATATCACAGAGCACTGTTTTAATGAATCTGCCAAATAACAATATACAAGTTTTTCTCGCACAGGATACATTTATCACATTTATCACAAACTGACACTAGGCCAATT